GGGACGGCATTGGCGTTCCTTAACTACAAAGAATGCAACAAAAAATGCAAACTAGTAATCCGGGAAGCTAAAACGGAGTGTGAAAAGCATATCGCCATAGATAGTAAAAAGAACCCCAAAAAATTCTACCAATATATTAACCTCCCTGGCTCTATGATTATGTCAGGAATTTTGTACCAAAAGCGGTACAATTTTTTGCATGGAAATTTGTTGTTTATATTGTAGGCCTGTAATTCTTAGTAAGAAATACTATGTAACTATAAGTATACATGAATGAGTGTGTGTGTAAATGTATGAGTATACATGCATGAGTGTGTTTGTGTGTATATGTATACATGCACGCTGACTTTTCTAGTGTGCTGTAACCAGCACTTTGTCACTGGCTGGGTGACTTTCTGCTATGACTATTGCTGAAGGCGCTTAGGCCCCATTCACACCTCGGCGTCATTGTTCTGGTATTTCTCCTTACAATCTGTCTAATTATTTTGCAATTGGCTATTGCTTTTTGGAAATCAATTTACTTAATGTAAAAATGCAATCAGCCCTGGTGAGATCTGTATGCAGCCCTGTATAATTGCTGTATAATTATGGATTGATGGAATCTGAGGTCCTCTTTTGATGGTTGCCATTCTCCGTTGCTGAATAATCATGGATTGAGTTATAATTCTTCATAATAATAAAGAAACTGCCTTAAAATCATTAGTCTGTATTGTTTTAGAAAAAATTTCACATGTACCTTTAATAAAAAAAAAAAGTATCGGTAATTGGTATCGACAAGTACCTGAGGGACAGTACTTGTACTTGGCCTTGGCCTTGAAAAAATGGTATGAGGGCATCCCTACAAACAACCGTGTGCACAAGTGATACTGTTGCATTCAAAAATATGTTTGTTCCAGGTGAATTTGCCAATATCACCATAGTAGGCATCTTTACTGTGTGTGAGACTAATAATAGTCTTCCAAAAGGGTACACTCTTTCTCAATTCAATCTTAAAGTGTTCATTTGTGAATGCACTCACTAATGACTCTGGACAAACTTCCAGTGGTATACACAGTATTATAGCAAAATCAATGTGTAGCATCCCTCTTATTGTAATAAACTCATGTTACATTGAAGTTGCGATCTGAATTCAACATGAATAGGTAGGTGCTTTTCTCTCAAATATGCCACACTACTTTATATACAGTATGATACAATATTGATTACAGTTATTACATAGTTGGTATGGTTGAGTAAAGACACAGGTCTATCGACTTTAACCTTTGGGTTTTGTGTGTGTGTTACCAAGATTACCTGTACCCCTGTCTATCTTGTGCGCTGAGAAAAGATAGGTAGTTCTAGATAGTTCTTGAATGATTCCATACTCTCTGCTGATACCACTGTCTGTGGAAGGGAGTTCCACAATTTTACAGCTCTCACAGTAAAGAATCCACTTTGCTGTTCAGGATTAAACCTTTTCTCTTCCAGTTTCAGATGGTGGCTTCTTGTATTCTTGACTGAACTGACAGTAAACAGATTATTACTAATTATCCCACCACCATTAAACAAGCTGTACATTAATATCATGTCCCCTCTCAGTCTCCTCTTTTCAATAGTGAACAAGTTTAATGGTTGCAGTCTTTCTTCATAGTTGAGGTCCCCTAACCCCCTTATTAGCCTTGTCACCTCTGGACTCTCTCCAGCTGAAGAACATACTTTCTGTGGATGGATGTAGATCCACATACTCGGGATGTGGTCGGACCAGTGTTTTGTACAATGGCAGAACTATGGATTTGCCTTTACAGCATAGTGTCTTTATAGTGTTCCTGTTGGCATGCCGATATAAATGTTAACTCAATATTGTATTATAGACTCCTTAAGTATTCCAGTGTCCACAGGATGTTGGAATTCTAGAGTAATCTCTTATTGTGCCGCAATTTTAGAAGTTCTATCACCCTAATGTCCTCATCTAGTCTCACATGTCGAATGGGAAGGTAACTGAATCTTCTCCAAATTAATCCACTTAGCATTATCACATAAACGCATGTGTGTGCCCTGCAACATCTGATACCATCAAGTTGTTAGCAATGCTGAAAACTAAAACAGCACATGTGTAACCATGATGCATTTCTTCTGTGGCAGGGGACTTCCTCAGAGGAGAATGTTCGCCTCTCCTCTGAGGAAGTCACCTGTTGCATGGTGCATGTATGCATTTAGCACAATAACTGGAACAAGTGGTAACTTACTGGGTTCTGGTAAAAATGATCTAAGGAGATTGAAGCGCAATACAGCAGTATATGATGTGTTGCGCAATACAGCAGTATATGATGTGTTGCGCAATACAGCAGTATATGATGTGTTAACAGTGGATAAATACACATTTTAAATAGTCCCATCCCAGAGTAATTTCTGCATACAACTTTGGTCAAAAAGTCTAAATTTGGATGAAAAAAACTGCAACAGGTTTGAGAAATCTAAGGGACAAAAAAACTGTACATATGATACATAATGTAAGTGAAGGGGACCTCACTATTATGTTAAATTCAGATCACAACTTGGATACAACATGAGTTTATTACACTAAAAGGCATGCTGGAGTGTGGCACTCTCCAACAGTAACACAGACGGAAAAAAATACTTTTCTTCAGCAAAATGGGGAATGCTAGAATCCCTGTCAGATTTTATTTCTGTCTATGCTACTTTTGCAGATTCTCCCTCACTTCCTATTTGGTGACACTCCTGTCAGCTTTACAGCAGTCCAAATCACTTCCAGAAGCAAGTCAACAGTGCAGTGTGAAAGTGCAAACAAACTCCTGGCTGAGTCTGTTTACATATAGGTGCTGCCACTGATGCAATCCTTACGTTGATGGCAGTGAAAGGGTTAAGGTCCAATTCATGTCCCAGCAAAAATATTTTTATTGAGGTTGCGTAAAAACTATGATTTATAAACGTCTTACTATTAGCTCTAGTGCTCTCAGCAAGAGGGGGGATGTGCTGGACAGCTGCCAAGCAATTGCTACTGTCACACAGAGTGTGCAGAAGTTCTCTGCGGCCTGGGGGAAGAGGCGTTTGGACTGGAGCTTTAAGATATTAATAAATTAAAGTTGGTATGCACCCGCAACTGAAATAAATATTTTTTTTTGACTGATACTTTAGTTAGACTTTTGGAAACGTATTACCTAAACACTACTTTAAATCTATATTATGTTAGATACAGTTGTAGCGTTAATTTTATTTTCTCCTTTTCACATGTGCACAAAGATCCCATCAATTAGACAGACATAAATAATCATGGTATTTCACACACCAGTGACCATGCCAATAACTGGTACACAGAATGCACCCTGTATACATGCAATACATTTGCTAGATTGTACCAAGATCTCCATTTATCAAATACACCACCTGGACAAACAAAAGTCCCCACCTGGATTAAGCTAAGCAAATAGGCAAGAGCTTTCCATTGGATGAAAGGTCTAGGTTCAGCAATGTTACGTCCCCCAAAAATGAGGCTAGCTGCCTACCCGAATATAATGAATGACGAGGTTTTTCCATCAATTATTTTTTTCTTCCCTGAGGACTTAGGCATATTCCAAGATGACAATGCCAGGATCCATCAGGCTCAAACTGTGAAAGAGGGATTCAGGGAGCATGAGGCATCATTTTCACCCGTGGATTAGCTACCACAGAGTCTAGACCTTAATCTCATTACTAATCTTTGGGATGTGCTCAGACTCTCCCATCATCACTACAAGATCTTGGTGAAAAATCAGTGCAACTCTGGATGGAAATAAATGTTGTGACATTGCATAAGCTTATCGAAACAATGCCACAGCGTATTTGTGCCATAATCAAAGCTAAAGGTGGTCCAATTAAATATTAGAGTGTGTGGCTTTTTTTTTTTTGCCAGGCAGTGTATATGCTTGACTGAAGTTGTACATTTTAAACCAACTTCTACTGAACTGCAGAGTTACTCTTAGCGCTGATTTTGCACTATAGCTCCACTTTCATGAGATAATAAAAGTAGATTGCCATAAATAGTAGTTAATGCTTACCAATTACTGTAGTTAATAATAGAGTTTATACATTTGTGTTTTGTCTGACTAAATGTACCAATATACAATCCTATCATCAAAAATGCTTTGCCGGTGATGCTAAGCTTTACATAATTTAAAGTTGCCATTTCAATGTCTTTTAAGCATGTACTTTTAAACTGCATGTACCTGTGTGGAAAGGGTTAAATGCACAGGAAAAATGCTAATGCTCTCTTGGAACACCTAAATCTTACATTCCCTTGTGGAATGTTCTGAATGTGGTTGTGTGAGCAGACACACAAAGCAAGCGATATTGCCTTGGGCCGAAATTCAAATATTCACAATATTAGTTTTCTGGTTTAGTGCTTTAAACATGCTTCTCTTCCACAAGGAATGGCAGCATGCAATGTACAGTAATCTAATATAGAGAAACATGCAAGTATATCGTAGATTGTAAGGGCTTATTTATAGAAGAGGAAACCTTATCAAAATTGGTTCTATCTTTAGCTTAACTTGAACAAACTGAAAAGAGGAGCTGATTGGTTACTATGGACAACTGCTGCAGTTTTGATAAATCCCCCCCCCCCCCATGACTTTTCAAGTTCCAAAAATGTACACAGCAAATTCAAAGGTAATTATAATAATAATAAAAAGTAATGGAGTATTTTACCTGCAGTAACATATTACTGCAGTGGATTTAAGCGGGATAGAAGTTTTACTTCGGTAGTTAGTGGGCGAAGGATGATTATTTAATTTATTTGCCTTCAAACAGGCATACAAGCCCAGCACAACGTATAGCATATGGACTACTATTCCCATGAAAGGTGGGTCAAGGGCACACTGGCTCCACACAGTGTTTATATTAACTCATATGCCCTTTGGAAGCTTCAAGAAGTGAGTCCAAAGATATTGTGCCCACTTGCAAAATTTTAGTGTTATACGTAACAATTGGGGTGGAGGGCAGTTCCTACAGTCTAGTCCTGATATTTTGGTAACTTTTTTCATTCAATAGGAGGAATGCATACATATGTAGACATAATAGTTACTACTGAATGCAGTCATGACAAATTACAGTGTTGGCAATGGTCAATCAGTGGCAGCTTAACAACCACATGGAAAACATGGGGGCACACTGCTGGGATAATCCAATGTAGACCAGCAAAGCAAGAAGAGTCAAAATCTAAGTTTCGCTAATGGTAAAGTAAAGCTGTCAACCAATGACTCCATGTTTAATACATAAGAAACAATGCTATAGAAGTATTTTAGTGACATTATGTACAGAGGTGGGGTGCAGAGGGTATGAGAGTGGGCAGTATGTGCAGGGAAGTAGTACAGCGGGTATAGGAGCAGGCAGTATGTGCCGGAGAGGAGTGTCTAGGTATAACATCGGACAGTATGTGAAGGAGAAGAGTGTGGAGGGTATGATAGTAGGCAGTATGTGCAGGGGAGGAGTGTAGAGAGTAAAGCAGCAGGCAGTAAGTGTAGGGGAGCAGTGCAGAAGGTGCATCCAATGTGTGGGGTGTGACAGTCGCGTAGGTTGGTAATATGTGCAGGAGAAAAGTGTGAAATTAATGGTGGTAGGCAGTATGTGCAGGAGAAATGCAGATGGTATGATGGTAGGCAGTATGTGCAGGAGAGGAGTGTTAAGGATATGAAAATGAGCAATGCGTACTTCAGAGGATTGCAGAGGGTATGAGAGTGCACCAAAAGTTTGGGAGAGGTGATAGTGAGAGACGCCTATGACAGTATGCACAATGTACAGACTGGGTATGTAACAGGAAAAAAGGAGAAGAAAGTGTGTGAGGACAGGGCTCTTTTTTAATACTTAATTGTTTTTTTTTTACTGCGGTGAAAGGCTTTCTTTAGGGAGTTATCAGAGGGCTTTTAGACGCTGATGCCTCCTCCGTGTCCGTCAAATACAGACTTGTGAAAAAAAGTCCTTTATCTGCCTTTGTGCTGGCTTAGAACACCAGCACACTGAAGGTAGAAATCTGGAAATGCCAAAACCAAGATAGCGTAACTGAGTGTGTGCTCTGTCTGTGTTCTGCTGTGAAGGAGTGTCTCTGTTCTGTGTGTGTGTGTGTGAGATAGAGCAGATAATTGCAAAGGGGGAGAGAAACAGAAAGTAGGCGAATGCTTAGGTGATGCAGAGAAACTGTAGATATCCTAAAATGTAGCACACAATCAGTTACATACATTTTTCTGGTTTTCTGCTACATATAGGAGAGTTACAGTAAGAAGGACAGGAAATAAGGACCCACTATAGATATTGTTTTTTTGGACAGCTGTGATAATTGATGACAAGAGATAATGACAGACAGACTAATATAGATAGACAGATACAGACAGACTAGATAGATAGAAGGAAATATATGTATACACACACACACATATACATAGTATATCTCACATAAACAGAAGTTTTATACCTTGGTAGGAGTCCGGTAACAAGGTACTGGAATCCACTGCTTTTTCTGATTGATGAGAAGAAGGACTATGATGATGACAAGGGCTGTCATTATTGGGACTGCCACCCATGCAACTGAATGAAGAGAGGCGTCTTCACTGGGTCGAGATCTGTCTCCTTCCCTGTAGTTCACTTTTAGATGTCCCATTTCTACAAGAATTAAAAAGATGTAACTGCAGCAATGCTTAAAAGAGATTATAGTATGTAACAGACATGCTACTCTAAATCCCAATTCCACCTAAACATGCCACCCCCTCTATCCCTCTTTCCTAGAAAAACAGCACAAACTGTAGAATTAATTTTGAACTTTATAACTATGGTATCACTGGTCGAATGGGAAAAAAAAATATATTCTACATTTACTTCTTTTTGCATTAGAAGCGTATCTAAAGATCTAAAGCCAACACACAAGACTTTTTTTTTTGGTAGAGTATGGAATGCTTAGAAACCCTGTCAGATATGTATTGCTGTTTGTTCCCCCATTGGTGAGAGTCAGTGACCAATTTAAACACAGCTAAAAGTGAAGGAAAATTCTAAATTGTGAGTTGTCACTAGAACAGGAATAGATGGGAAATGTTCTTGTGACAACTGTCTATAGGACAGGAAGTCCTCCCCTACTATGCTCCAAAACTAGAATAAAAATGTTGGCTTTAGATATACATGAAAGTATACAGACAATAAAATAACTCAAGACAAGATCATAAAAAAAAGCCTCCCTTACATACATCCCTTCTGTATCATTAATAATATTGGTGAAAAATTAGGCAGATGTTAAAATGGTCTCAGAGCTTATACTGCACCTTTGTCCAGAGTATGAACATTAAAGTATTTACATTTTCTTTTACAGGCAGTAAACGAGCTTTCAACTGTACATATTGCCATTTTTTAGGAAAAAAAGAGTAAGAAGATGTAAACCCATTTCTTTCTTGTCCTGGAGACATGACAGGAAATGAAAGTAAATCTACAAAAAAGTGAGGGGAGTTTCTTTGACAGATGTCACTGGAACAGCTGTTCCCATTAGAAAGTGAGGGGGAAATCCAGGATTTTTGACTTGTCACCAGAGCTAAGCAGAAACATTCCGTTTTAATGTCAAGCTCAGTTAAGACTTGATTTAAAGCTCCTTAACTGCTTGATAATAGGAATTTTGAATTACCCGTAAATTCCCTTTCTTGTAGTACAGTACAGGACTTTGTCATAGTCCTTGGGGTTATAGGCAGCTATCTTTAGATCATTATACAATGGCAACAATGTTGGCAGGACAGCCCCAGATAACTCCCCCAACACACAATGACAGAAAGCCTCAGTTTTTTAGAATAAAATAGGCATAGACCACACAAAGGGGAGGAACCTATGTCCTGAACTGTACTCCAAGAAAAAGAAATTACAGGTAAGTTAAAATTCCTATTTTTTTAATTGTACAGTACAGGACTCTCAATAATAGTCCATGGGGTGTCTAAAAACAGTTATCTGAAGGGTGGGCAACACAGAAAACAGGCCCATGGCGGTCGCACGTCTTCTGTCGGTCGCACGTCTTCTGTCGAACCAGCATGTTCGAAAACCAGCCGGGAATCGTACGATTCTCGGCTGGTTAGAACGGTGCTCGGAAGACAAATGCCGAGCGGGCCGGTGTGCGCACGCGCACACTGCCCGTTCAGCATTGCGGTCATCGGAAGCCCGCCCCTCGGGGGGGCGGGCTTGCGATGATCGAGAGTGCGATCTGCCTGTCCAAGATAGGCAGATCGTACGTTTTTTTAATCCCTGTACAACCATCGCAAGACTAAAGTCTTGCGATGGTTGTAGAGTGTATGGCCACCTTTAGAAACAGAAGCCTGATTCTGGAAAGTCCATGAAGCACCCATTCTGTTCCTTAGGCTCAAGTAAAGACTAGCCTAATTCACTTAGCAATGGTGGAGCTAGAGACACGGAGCCCCCTATGGGATTCTTCAGGACAAGGACAAAAAGTGAATCCTGTATAGCACTCTGTGGTTGAAGTAATGCTCTGTACCATCTGCCAAGTTGAGCACGTGATATAGGATCCAGCTCTCTGAACCACATTACAGGCTGACCCCACATCTCCACACTGGCAGGGTCTGAGTATGGTTCCCAAGGCTTAGCTGAAGGGCAACAATGTAGAAGCTGCAAGAATCAGCCACAGTGGCTATAATGCAGCCAGAACCTTAACAGTTGAGTCGCATACAAATTTTACAGGTATAAACCCATTCTCTTACCTCAGGAGAGATAAAATGTCCAACACCTAAGGACACTAGCTAAAAACTGAAGCTTGCTGGGAGTGGGAGGGGTTATATAGGACTGTCTTAACAACTTTGTTGTCAGTGTCCAGTCACCTAAATAGAGTTGCATATAACCCAATGGTCTATGACTTAAAGTCCTGTATAAAAATAAGAAATTAAAATTAATTAAATGCAAATACTTAAATGCCCATAGTCTGTGCACAGGTACAATTTAACTAGTCAATGTAGTTGCTCTCCTCTGAACTCCAGTTTTGCAACATCCTTTTTGTGAACCAGTGTCCTAAACTGGCCTGAAATGAACACTTTAGAGATGTAGTCTTAGTTTATTAATTTACAATAAAGATATACAATAAAGAATACAAACATACGTCTTTGTAGTCTTGCTTCTGTGTCATCCAACATGTAAAGCAGAAATACAATACAAATGCAATTAATATAAGCAAAATTAAAGTCCACCTAATAGCACCGAGTTCCAGAAGGCGAGGTTTGAATCTGAGTCTGTCATCTCATTAATTACTATAGATGATCAAAAGGTGCATTAAGGTGCCCATACACCTGCCAATTATTGTACGATAATCGCGGGTTATCCCGCGATCGTACGATAATCAGCAAGTGTATGGGCAGCGTGGGACTGCATCTACTGTATGGTCGCACGACTTTCGTCTTCCTAGCACGCTGGAAAACTTGCCGAAAATTGTACGATCGCCATAGGGGGTAGAGTAGTTTAAACTGACATTTAAAGCTTCCCCTCACATCCCAATATATTCCCGCAATCTCTCAGCGTTTTGAACAAATTAGGTAAACTAGTATTTAGAGAAGTAATATACAGCAGGAAGTCATCTGGGAAGAGAACACCTTTGTGATGCGAATCCATTCTGATGGTGCTGAAGATGTTGTAGTTTGCGCTATGGCTAGGGTTTCAATAACTATGTAAAATAAGAGGGCTGACAAAGGGCATCCCTGTCTAGTGCCCGTATAGATGTGAAGAGTATCAGATTTGGCTTTCACCATGATGTGCGCTATTGGTATGGATAAGTGTAATAAGGAAGTTCCATTTGGTCAGTGTGTGGGAAAAGGTATTGCCATGATAAGCTACCAAAAGTTTTATGAAGGTCAAGGGAAAGTATCATCCTCTTCCTATTGACCTCCTCTTTGCAGTTTTCATAAACAGATTTATAGCCATTTTCATTTGGTTCAATGCTTGTATATTAGGAGCAAAACCCACTTGGTTTATATGAATATACTGTTCCACAAATCCATTGTGCTGAATAACAATTGTCAGTCACAGTTGATTAAATACATTGGTCTGTAATTTGTGATATTACTTAAATCTTCATTGGGCTTAGGAATCATGCAAATGTGGGCTCTATTGGAGTCTGTGTCAGGGTTGTACCCTGTCAGAGTGTTAAATATTGTAACCAGGTGCAACATTGGTGAATGTTTTGTGGAATGTAATGCAGTAAAGCCATTTTGGTTTGAAGTTTCAGAAGATTTAAACTGCATGATAGCAAGTAGGACTTCCTCTGTTGTTAGCACATGTTCCAAAGTTTCCCTATGAGTTTGTGATCAGTACAGGATAGGAAAGTCTTGGGGATTCTTGAGAGAGCTATCAGGTTTCCTGATTTTGAGTATTGCAGTATATGATGATAGTGGGTTAAGTTTCCTAGCGAATAGTGCACCTGGACAATACATAGTAGGTGAGGGTGAATGAAGACACGGGTCCATCAGATTCAACCTATATAGTGTGTGCTTATAAAGTTAGTAATTTCCATAACCCTGTATGTTGTGTGAACTCAGGAAGTCATCCCAGTGTTTTTTGATGAAGTTTCCCGCTGATACAACTACCTGTGGAAGTGTATTCCACATTTTTACCACTCTCAAAGTAAAATTCCCCTTACGGCAGGGGCGCACACAATTTTTCATCTGGAGATCTACTTTTCAAATGATGAGCTCTATGATATCTACCAACGAAAAAACACTTGCATTCAGGGGCAAGTGTGGGCGTGGCGGTGCATTGAAGTCAATGGCACTGCAGCCAGGCACCCTGCCCACAGTGCGATCGCCTGCACCCGGAACCCAGGCACATCAGTGTCTGCGTTCCAGTCCAGTGCGATCCGGAAAAATGCTGCAAGCACTATTTTTGCAGGTCGCACTGGACCGGAATGCAGGCACTAATGTGCCTGCGTTCTGGGTGCGATGATCACGCTGTGGGTGGGGGGCATGGCTGCAGTGTCATTGACTTCAATGCAACCCCACACCCCCTCCCGCCCCTGAACGCAGGGAGTCGTCCGGCTTACATTCCAGTGCGTCCCAGAGGCCCCGGCGTCCTGTCTTCCCACGGTGCTCGTGTGGCCGACGTTGCACATGGAGAGAGGTGCCCCGCCCCTTTACATCTGCAGTGTCTGCCACATTCAGCCGGCAGCCGCACGAGCACCGCGAGAGCATAGGCGTAGCCAGCTTCTTTCCACTTTTTATACTTTTATTTATTTTTAATTATATCAAGCAGTCATTGTTACTCAATCTAACTACGACTGCCTAATAATTTAATTAATTAATTTTTGGTTATTATTAGGTTGCTCCAAACTTAGGAACAGCCAATAATAACCTTAGTAAAACTGCTGCCTACAGCATGTCAGGATCAGTGTCACTAAATGCTTGATTGTTCCCAGAATGATCAGAAGCATGCAGCATTGTTTCAGAATAGAAACATGTAGCTAAATGTTTCTATTCTGAAACATTTAGAAAAAATCCGGTACAGATTGGGATCAGCAAGTGTGGTAATTACCACTCTATCACTGCCAGACACCCGTAAGGCTAGGTTCACAACTGCACTACACCACACGACACCCGGGACGCACGGTCCTGTACAATGCAGGCAGCGATTGCCGCACGGCCCCATTGATTCTAATGGGGGGACATCTGCACGGCAATTGCAGAAAAAAAAGGTACAAGTACCTTTTTTTTGTGATACACGACACGTGGCTGTTTTACACCTTGGCGACTCCTGGCCTGCGCGGCAATCAGTGCACGATTGCCACGCGGTGAGGTGTTGCCTAGGTGTGAACCTAGCCTCAAAGCTTAACTGTAAGCTTCTGTAAAACCTTAACTTTTTCATTAATGGATGCCTCAATACTCATTGTCAGCGGTTACTGGCATTACAGATCCCCAAATACCTACTAACGTATAGTGTATGTGGGCAGTCATTTGGGCACTTAGTGGCGGGGGCCTAAAGTGTACGTCTAGGTGTTAATTTAGCTGCTCTTCTCTGAATTTTTTTTCTAGCTTATGGACATCACTCCTAAAGATTGGTGACCAGAACTGAACCACATACTCAAGATGGGGCCTTACCAGTGCTTTGTAAAGTGGCAAAATTATATTTCTATACAGTGAATAAATCCCTCTTTTACAACAAGATAATGTACTACAAGCTTTATTAGATGCAGCATTGCATTGCATGCTATTGCTGAGTCTGTGGTCTAGACGGACCTCATGATCCTCCATCTCCATTTTCCCCAGCAAACCCCACCCATGGTGTATTTAGCATGCATGTTCTTAGCTCCCAAGTACATAACCTTACATTTTTCTGCCACATTGCTGCCCACTCTCCAATTTTATCAAGGTCCTGCTGCAAGAATTCTATGTCTTGTTGCGAACTTATTTCCCTGCATAGCTTTGTATCCACTAACAGGGAGCTATTTATTCCCACCTCAAAATAATTTCTGAATGATAATTTATGGTATAATCAGAATTGGCCTGAAGACTCCACTCACTACTTTGGACCATTTAGAGAATTAATTAATCTGGATGCGGTCCTGCAATCAGTTTTCTACCCATATACATATAGGTTCTTTAATGCCAATCAAACTTAGGGGTCTATTCACCAAGCTGCCGAGGGCAGCCGAGTGAATGACTGATCTGAAGTGAAGTGAGCCGAACACTGTTCGGCTATTCACTTCAGGCTGGTACGGCTGATTACAGCCGTACATCGGCTTGCTTCGAGTGGCTTCGGGTTGGCCGAACATGCTGAGTGCAGAAGGAGTTCGAAAGCTTCGTGAATAGACCCCTTAATGTGTAAATTAGTAGTTTATGGGGTACTGTGTCAAGCGCCTTTGCAAAGTCTAGAAAGAATAAATCAGCTGGGATTCCCCTGTCCACCTTACAACTTACTTCCTCATAAAATGTCAACAGATTTGTCTGGCAATAACGGTTCTTCATCAAGTCATGCTGGTTTGTACTTCATACCATTTTCACATGCAGATTTTTTAACATAATTCCTGACCATTCCCTCAAAAACTTTGCATATTATTGATGTAAGGCAGAATAAATTTTTTATACAGGTCAGCTTGTAACTCAGAGACACATTATAAGGATTGCCTTTTAAGACATAGATTTGTGTTGCTGTGTAAACACAGAAATTGTGTAAGATGCCACAGACTACCGTTAAGCTTATCTTAGCAACATAATAGTTGCCTTCGCTGTGGAGATACTGTGTTTCCTGTGTTTGTGCATAATCAACAGTTGGCAATATGAACTGAGAAAAAGAATTACATGAATGCCTAAAATTGTTGAAGCATGTTCCTTACAGCATCATAAATTCTGAATCACACAGGCTGAAAGCCGCATCTCGTGTAAATTATACAAAAAGAGGTGGTAGACAACAAATGGTACTCACCTCTATGGTGGAGAATATCATTCTCACTGGGTGTTGGCCATTGAGGGGTGTTATGTTCTTTCCTTCCTCGGTGATTTGTCTTCTCAATAGGGATGTTGGTGGGTTCAGGAATATACATCTCTGCAAAACATGGACTTAGTTTGTGCATCTACTTAATTTACCATTCCTGTAAATGTCAGATTTAGTACTTTCCAATATTCCAACCTCAACCATTTCATCTCAGCAGGGACAATATCAGTCAATGCTGTCATGACTGGGGCAATTTTTTGGTTTGTAACCAACACATGGTTTGCTTTGTGGTTTACATACATTCGGTAAATGTACACAGTGTTATTTTATATATCTATTAATAGTAGTAGCAGCAGTATTATCTGCTGCCATTGTTTTATTGAGCAAATGTTTGCAAAATTATTCAACGAATAAGAAAATATTCTTACCAAAAATGCAATAAGACATTTAGTACAATCAAACTGTCAAGTGTGCAGTCAACGTAATGATTTTGTCAGTCAGCTGGACACCATAAAGTGCCAGGACATTCCTGGCCTGCATCCCACAATGCAAACCACAGTGCTTGAAAAACCTATCCATAGGTATGGAGCATGCCTCCTTGTTACAAAATGCTGTAAAGCAAAGCAAGCTTAGTAGAAAAAGACACATTTGAAATGAATGAACTAAAAGCTCATCCATGTACCCTTCTCCAGCTCTTCGTCAGACAAAATACCTTCTGTTGAAGCCAAATATTTAAAATGTTGCCTTATCAATCCACAGCACCTGCTGCCATTTTCTGCATCCCAGTCCTTTTGTTTACATGAGTAGGTGAGTCATTTCCTCCACCATGCTGGACTGTTTGTGCTTCTACAAAAGAACCTAAAACCAGCACATCTGAAAACACCGTTGGCTGCAAATTTCTGCTTGGGAGATTTAGGATGCAGGATGATCGCCTTGTGTCTTGATCCTATGCTTACTTTTGCCAGGGTGTGGGATTCAGTTGTTATGTTTTAGGCCTCTAAACAGGTTTTGCTTCAGTTAATCAGTTTGGGTCAATGTGTGCATTATATTATTAATATTCTCTTTGTTATATTTGCATAATTTAGCATTGGGCTATCTACCGAGACAAAAAAGAAAAATCACATTTTTTGATTGGAAAGTAGTCAATTGCTATGTTAGTTTCTTTAGGAACATACACAACTTATTTTATTGCTTGACTTTTTTTTTCAGAAAAAAAGTTTACAACTATCACGTATGTTCCTTTCTCTTGGACACTAATGCAGAAGACATAAAATGACTAAGATAAATATTTTAGTGAACAATCTTAAATGCCTAAAGGGTCGTTAAAATTACAGATGGGGAGGCCTCAAAAACAATTAAAACATTAGAAAATAAAATGTAAAAAATGTCCTTAGTAATTTAACCATTTGCTGCGGGTAGCCGTAAATATACGGAGGGCCACAGAAGTGGTTATACCAAGAACACAGCTGCTGCAGCCATGCTCTTGGTGTCACTTTGAGCAGCCAGCGATGGCTGTTAAGATACAAGCGACTCAGCGTCTATACAGCTAGCGGATTGTTTGTACTGATCGGTGGAATTACTGCCACCGGCTTCCCCAGGCTCCGCTGTCCCCTGTGCAGCCCCGGGACCGGCACAATGGTTCTCCCCGCAACAATCGGAGAGAGATCAGCAGGCTTCAAGCCGCTGATCTCTCCTCCAATCACTGGACTCGGAAGTGATGTGCATCACTTCCGGTGTCACTGTTTACATTCTCCGGCCAGGAAGAATCTGGGGAAGCAGATTTCTGGTTCCATAGGTGACATTAGGGGTCTGAAAGACCCCTGATGTCTCCATAAAAAGGACCTTTCACAGCATATCTGCTATTACATAGGGGGCTTGTTAGCCCCCTATGTGAAAGCAATAAAGTTAGTGTAAAAAAAGTGTTTTAAAAATAATAACATTCAAGTACATAGTTACATAGTATTTGAGGTTGAATAAAGACATTAGTCCATCAAGTCCAACCTATTAGGATCTCATTCTAGGAGTACCTGTACCCCTGTATATTACGGTCCCTTAAGAAATCGTCCAAAAGTTTCTTGAACAATTCCACATTATTTGCTGAAATCACCGCCTGTGGCAGTGAGTTCCAGACCCTAACTAGGTGGTGGCCTCTAGTTTTTGTAATGGAGTTAATTTTAAACAGTTTATCGCTAATGTTTTTACCACTATGGAACATTTTGTAAATGGAAATCATATCCCCCCATAATCTCCTCACCTCCAATGTGAACATGTTTAAATTTAGTAGCCTTGTCTTATAGCTCTGGTCCTCCATACCCCTAATTAGTTTGGTTGCCCTCCGCTGGACTTTTTCCAACTCAAGGACATCTTTTCTTAGTACTGGTGACCAGAATTTTTACAGTTAATATATTGGTAGAATTTTTTATTTTATTTTTAAATTAAAGTCCCCAGCCTCCCACGTGCACACACATACATACGCAAACACGCGTAGGTGCGCCTATGTGCAAAAATGAAAATTGCGCTACACGTTACATACCATCGCAAACATCTGAGTGAGAGCAATAATTCTAGAGCCATTAATCACTGTTAGCACTAAACTGATAACCGGTAAAAGCTTTTAAAGTGTCCCTATGGGAAATTTGGGGTATTGAAGTTTTTTGTGGCTTCACGGGCGAACACAATTTTAAGGCTTGACATGTTCGGTTTCTATTTACCCGACGTGACCCCGTCTTTTATGTTTTAACAAAAAAATGGGTATTATATTTGGTTTCATTTTAGTGTATTTTATCCTAAAAATACTGGTTTGATAAACATTTGCGCAAATACCGTGCAACACAAACAATTTCAACTAGCATTTTTTTTATTCTACTGGGCCTCTGCTTTCAGAAAATATATCATTGTTTGGGGGTTTGAAGCTATTTTCGCGCCAAAAATTCAGATTTTATCATCTGTGTGCAAATAGTAAAAAAATTGCTCCAGACAGCAATTGGTTAAAGCATTTAGGTTTGCTATGGTGTCCTTATCCATATCCCTAAGTTGTTTACTTCTTATAAAATGCTGAACATTTTTATAAGTATATACGTCCCTCTTCTCCTCTGTTATTCATTTCTTAAGTTCTCTTAGAGCCGTGGTGTTCATCATGAACTGCCATTAATCAAATAATTTAAGATGCAGCAGTCATAAACAAAGTCCTTGAGGGACTGGAGAATATGGTTGCATATAAAAGTGCACATTTGAAAATAATTTATACTAAAAGACGGTACATAGACGGTTCCATAGTATACTAAGTGCACGTATAATAAGGCAAGATGTTTAGCATTAATAACTTTTATAGGTGAACGGTAGTAGGATTGGAAGGTGCTTTAGTAGCTACAGTAATTGTAAGCTCTCACGGGCATCTTGAATTGTATTCTAACTGTCTTTGTTATATTGTAAAGCACTGCGCAAACTGTCGGCGCTATATAAATCCTGTATAATAATAATTGGGCAAATGACCTCAGTGTCACAGGATCTCTGAGAAGTTGTGAGACTAGTTATGGTGCATACAGAATGAAAGCTGAAATAATGAAAAAACTATTTTTAATAATATGACACGGTATACAGAAATTCAGACCAAAAATAGTTATTCAAAGAAACAAATATTGTTACCTGGACACATGGGACAGCAGCTTCCTTCAACATTAATTGGTTCCACACATGGCAAAGGTGGACAGCTAACCGTAGAGCAAAGTGTCTGTCCTTGTAAGCAATAGCAGTGTGTACAACTGTCAATGTCCCATCTTTCCTCATCAGCGTATGTCTTGCCATTGAAATGACATACCACTTTCTTTGGAATTGTATCCTCTGTGAATGTAAATGAAAAATATTAGCCACAGTTAAACTTATGCTATAAAAATAAAAAATAAAATGATATATTTGGGTTTATGTAAAACATATGTAGAAATACCATTCATATTAACATTTGTTAGATTTCCAAACATCGGATGTTTGGAAATCTAACTAAAGGCTGATTGTTATAGGCAAAAAAAAACCCAATGCTTCAGGTATAATGTGAGGAGATGTATACAGTTTAACTGTGTTTTCTAGCTCAGATCACAAACACAATGTAGAGGGCATTAGAGTTTCTCTGTACCTTGTGATTGCTTAATGAAAGGATGGTAGGCAGCAGATTAATGCTGAGGAGTTTTAATTGATTACAGGATTTTTTTGTAACCCTTTCATGCACACCTTCCGTACATTTCACCTCCAATCTCCATCCTGTCTTTATATGTGTACCCCTCTTCTTCATCCTCCCACTGTGACCTGTGCATTAACCACTTTACCATCTATCACCTCACTGTATGACCTGTACATTAATAATGCGCTGTGTCTTGCGCACCATTACCAAACTCCATGTTTTAACCACCTCAATACCAATGTTTCATCTTTCCCAACAAGCTGTAGCAAAAATGATTTCACCTTGGTGTGTTTTCTTTCCAAAAAGGGGTAATTTTTAGGGGTTATCGTACTGTCCTGGCATTTTTATTTTATATGTTTTATAACAGAAAGTAAGGCAAACAGATATTTTTTTCAAGATTGTTGTCTTTTTTCCTTAATACAGTCATGGCCAAAAGTATTGGCACCCCAGCATTTCTGTCAGATATTGTACCACTTCGCACAGAAAATTGTTGCAATTACAAATCTTTGACGCAATCAACACAGATATTGGCACACGGCAAAACATAAGGTCCAGAACAAGAAATAGCATTATTATAGAACTACCGGATCCACACACAAAAAAAAAAAAAGATACAAGCAACCCCCGAGAGTAGGCATTTCAGTCATATGTAAAGTATGGTTCCAGAATCCATAGGTAAGGCAAACAGGTGTCATAACAAGAGACCAGTGGACGGAAAGGCTGATTTCCACTGGAACTAAAAAGTAAAGTAAAACAGCCTGAAGGGCTATTCAATGCTAACCCCCTATCAGCGCAGAGTCACATAAAGCCAAATTAACATATACGCAATACTCAGCCATCCTTTAAATATTGGAATCACTGGGATCACAGACATTGGAGACTCTGGGATCACAGGGAAGGAGACGGCGGGACAGCTGGTTCTGCAGAAGGTCGTACGGCATGGAGGATACTGGAGGGTCGAGATCATTGGGAAGACTTGCAACTAGTTTAAAGGAGTGACCTCGTAAGGGTAGCTCCGGTTTCCCACGGGCGGCTGCACAGTGTTTCTCCTTAGTCCTAAAGAAATGCAGCTTCACGATTATATCTCGAGGTTCGTACGATGACCTCCTTCCCGGAGCTATATGAATTCCATCAAATTCCAGGCGATCCTAAGCAATGTCGGCCGCCATTTCTTACAAGAGTGTGGTAATGGAGGCTGAAAGGTCGTGATGTGCTCAGGTAGGCCTCTAATGCGTAGATTGCCAAGCCAAACTCCATTTTTGGCATCTTGTTTATCTTTTAGGCTTTGCATATCCAAATCGATGTGTTCCAACATCTTTACATGTCTTTCTAGAACAGCAGTAACTGTGTCCTTGCAATGTTCGAGCATGGAGCCCTGGCCACCAATCTCACAGAGTTCCTTCAAGAGATCTGCCGATTGCTGTTTAAAAACTCACGGATCACCAACTGGATCATAGAAAGGTGTAGGAAGGAGCAGTTTTAGCAGCCTGCATAGCCGATGGGAAGAGAGTCTGACTGTCTATCATGCGGTCAGAATCATCTGATGCCAACCTCATGTTGTTTCCCTTAAACGGTGCTGCCATCTTGGGTCTTCGCGTCAGTTACTTCAGAACCGTATGAGGCCGGTGTTTTAGACTTCCCAGATGGGCTCATGGGTCCCGAATAATCCGCAGGGTGTAGTGACTAGGGGGGTAAAAATATGAGAGGTTTCAAGTGCAAATGTCATCTCTGTAAGAGGAATGGCCTAGACGCTCATGCACCCCCACTTTTAGGGCTCTTGAGCATGATGAATAAAGTGCTTGCTGAGCACTGCTTTATTTTCATTTTTCCGATCGACACTACAGGGAGCAAATAGACCCAGCCCAGCCATGGTGCATGTAGCCAATGGAAGCAAGAGAGCGTTTGGAGAGGTGACATTTTTTTTATATTGGTAGCAAAATGCAAAATATATATATATATATTGTATATAATATATATTTTTAAGAGCTATTTTTTTAAAAAGATTTATAGAATTATGGATTGCTACCAAGTTGTGTATGATGAGCCATTGTTTAAACTGTAATTATACACAAATGTTTTTTATTTAAGATGCATAAAGTGTATGGGATGGCCATACACTGGTCGAATGTAGTATGATTTCTGCTGAATCATCCGAAATTCAAGTCCAAAAACATTCTCAGACATACTGTACAGCGCCAATCAGATGCAAGTTCTGCTGGGGTATTTAGCAGCCACTGAAGCAAAGAGGATGTAGCCGGGCTATCTTGGGTGGTCTCCCACTTGGGCTGGCCCTACACTGCTCTATTTTTTCTCATTCAACCCCCACGAATGAGAAAAATAGATCAGATTCCTCCATCTACATTTAGAAGTGTGTAGATTGAGGAATCCGGCTGTTTGCATTGTATTCTGACAGCGGCCGCTCATTGGCTGCTGGTTCTGATCGTACAAAGATTTTCCAACCAGCTCCTTTGATCAGCTGATTGAGGGATGCTGACCGAAAAGGTGCCGACAGCGGCACACACTGTGCGAATTTTGGGCGGTTCCTCAAAGACTGGCCGAAATTCACACTGTGTATGGGCACCCATAGGGTCTTTATATTTTATAAGGCATTAATAAGGTATGCATGATTATACATCTGTACATGTAAATGCACTGTGTACATTGTTCAGATATTATTTAGGGATAACTAATTCAGCAACGGCTTGTTTTGTAAAATATGTCACACAGTGGGACAAGAGGACAATGAAAGGGCAAAATATTGTATAGCAATTATTAAAATTTAAAGTAGTAGCTTTAGATGGTAGTTCTAGGGAAGGGCAACAGTCATTCTGTATGTCTTATTATTTTGATGAGATGAACAGCAGCTGAAGAGTGCCAATGGCAGCTCTCAACATGCAGAGCTGCACTATGTTACCATACAGAGTTTATGTCACAAAGTATAGGTAATATGTATATAGTTTTATTTCCTGAGTTTTAAATATTTCGCCTGAGCTTGCAGGGAAATAAAGTCTTTGTTGTGTTTATCACTGTAGAGGGGAGTGGCAGGCCCAATGAATTGCAAATAGGGCTGGTAATCAGCTTTTTCCTGAGCCAAGACCCTTTGATCTAATAACAAGTAGACTGGCCAATCGTAGAGAGGGGTGTAGAGTTGTAAAGAGGGTCTTGGAAACCCTCCAATCTCCATTAGGCCTTGGGAGGCAACCAATGGGAGACGTGCCATGCATCCCTATGGACACCTGGGGTATATTAATGACTGGAAAAAGCAGCTCGGCCTCCTCTTTTTACCAGGATGGGGACCTCATGTGACGATTAATGGGTAACTATACATATAATCTTTCCCCCACTTAACTGTATGTCTGTTTGTCTGTTAGATACCAATGTCTGGGTATTTGGCATGTTTAAATCTTTTCTTTGTATGTTGTAGTTAAATAGATTGTTGGTTCATTGTATTTAAGTCTTGATACTATATACCAATAAATTCTGTTATTGTGTTGAGCTCAAAAATCTCATGAATGAATCCTTAGAATATTATACCTGTAAGTGTGAATGCTTATATAGCGGTTCATAACTTAAAATAGTAATTCAGGTAACACACAGCTAGTCACAAACATCTATATTATACCATTTGCAGCAAAGCTATTCAGCAAGTAATCAAAACTGTGTTTATTTTCTCACATATAAAAATTAACAAGGCTCTTTTATGCTTAGCTACCATAGCGTCAGCATCATACAGTTGCCAGGTTATATTTTATTTCTATTTAGATATCTTAGAACTTTTAGTGAAAGTTGACTTACTGTATAGAACATTCAGTACTAATGGGCCTATTAAATAACAATACAAAGAGCAGTGATAGGCAATAATCTAAAACATTTGAAATATAGCTTTTAGAAGAGTCAAGTGGGCAGACTAAGGCTGGATTCACACCTAGGCGACACCTATTTAGTGCGTTTTAGGCGCCACTTTTTGCGCGCACCTTTTTGTGAGCAGATTTTGGCACATTCATGTGAATGGGCAAAACGTGTGCAAAAACATTGCAATGCGCATTTTGCAAGGGTTTACTATTAAGGCCATGCGACAAAACGCGTTAAAATCTGCCCCAAAGTAGCTCATGTACTATTTCGAGTGAAAGGCATATTCGTGCTTGAGACAAATCTCAAAAGGTGCGAAAGGGGGCCATAGAAATGAATGGAATTCCTTGGGTGGAGAGTTTTGTTGCACTGAATCAGCTGCGAAAATACGCCCAGGGTTGAATGAAGCGTTACAGTAAATGATTTCTGACTCCTTTACAGTGAGATGCAACACTTCACACATTGTATTCTGCATGATTAAATACATGTCAAAGCACTGCAATCTATATACACACACCGAATATTATTTTATACATGTATATAGAAGTATAAAACATGTTTAACTGAATGCAGATCTTTACTGTCTACATCTTCAGCGGTCACATCAGTCCCTACTCCACTGGGGTTTACAGTCTAATGTTCTTAGCAAAGACACAAAAGTAACACTCAAGCTTTTTAGGTCCATTTTAGGAACAAGGCATTTAAACTACCAATTTGTTTTAGATTTTTGGGGAAAATGTACAAATTCAAAGCAGACATGGTTGTGGTAGAATGCAACCCCAAAATCTCTGTATGAAAGGGATCATAATTTCACAGC